TGAAAATACAGAAAAATCTCATAACTGCATGCACAAAAGGAGCGTGCACGCTACACCCTGATTTCTATGTTGGCCTGGAACTGCAGGACACAAAGACCACAGTGCCCAGCATACATTGCTGCTTATGGTCAACCTAATCCTATCTGCTGAGATCACAATTTCCACTGGCTACCATGGGTATTAACTTGGTTAAAATGCCCTACTTTCTTTGGTGTTGTAAGTCATGCCTCTACCTTGTTCTGTTTATTAAGCAGAAATACTGACTTTTGTTGGGGGAGGGAGGGTCCCTCTATAGAGAACTACAACCGGAGTAGCTGTTGTAGGTGGAAGAAGAGTCCCACCTAACACGGTGTAGTGGCCTGAGCAGGAACTCCGAGTTGCAAAGCTAGATCAGTCACCTAACACCTCTGTGCTCTGGTCTCCCCATCTGTTCTGTGACAATCAAGCCATCTGTCTTAATTAATTAAGGTGCATGGGTAAGATGGACTTATTACTGATGCCACAATTAGATTCTGTTTTGTACAACAGCAGCACCCAGAGATTTTGATCACGACCAAAATCTACCACGCTGGGTACCATACACAGGCCAAATACAAGAGTTTCTACTCCAAGGGCTTGCAGGACCAAGCTAGAACAAGCAGGCGTGGATAATGCCGGGAGGAAAGGACAAAGACGAGCGTTAAAACTGGGAGGTGGCATAATTTGTTTCTTGGAGAGAGGTTCCCTTTAGAGATGGTTATGAATGATAGACAGGCTGCATATCATGATGTTATCCTTGGCAGTTCACGCAGGTATCGTGATAGTTATGACGTCTGGTTTCTCTAAATATACAGTGCCTAAGTAAAAACGTACATCTTCACCCTCAGTTACTCAAGTCTGAACTGCGAGTTCCCTGAAGGTGTAAGCACACAGCAATGGCAGGTTTGCTTTCTATTATTTATGAAGCTGCCACAGTGCAGGAGACGATGAAAGAAATGATCTGCAAGTGTGTAATTGTGTCCACATTATATAATCATAAGCCCAAAACAGGCTGTATGGGTAACTATATTTTTATATTTGCAAATGGACTTGAGGTGAGTGCACGATATTTAGGAACCGCTGGTATTCCATACACCAAAGTGCTGGTAATCCTGAAAGATCGCCGAAGATGCAGCCATGAGAAACATTTTTTAAATGAAAGTCGTTTAAGCTTGCTAATTTTTGCTGTCTCAGACAATCAAAATTCCAATTGTCTGGGACATCAAATCTAAAAAAGCATGAAATTAATCTTCAATAGTTAAAGTCTTAAAGGCATTGCATCATTATTTTTGTTGGATATATTTTTGATTATAATGCAGATGAACTTCAAATTTAATAAAACTAAAATAACATGAGTTAAGTATGAAACATAACAGGATATTGCAGAGAGATTAGGTAGTTTCCTTGAGACTACTTGCAGAGCCCAAGGAAAAAAAAAATCAAACCCAAGACACACAATGAAGAGAAGGCACCACTTAATTATAATATTTAACGGAATATGAAAACAGAATACTCGGATTTTGGCAACAAAACACAGAAAGCACGAGAACAGCCCAAAATGTCAGTCGGGCCTTTATTGCAGATACTGTTTTTCCTTTCAACTGTCTGTAGTAGAGAAGGAAGCATGCTAGCTAAATTTAAGCCAGCTGTAATGATGAGAGTGTTACAGTTGGACCAGAGGAAGCCTTACCTCATGAAAGTATTGTGGAAACTGCTGTTGGAAAGATAATAAAAGGATTAACTTCAGTTTTAGTGGACCATTTACTTTTCAATCAAAATGTCTCATGTATTTCCTGTTCTCAAGTAGCTTGAATTCCAAAATTCCTTTGTCTATTACAATACATAGTAGCAAAGCCTGTCATAAGAAATTAATAATTTTACATGGAAGAGAGCTTTTATGTATATGGGTGGAGTGCTACTTGCTGTTAGCCCCTGACCAGTTTCGCTACCTAGTTAGCCAAGGGAAAAAAAACCCAGGAAATAAAAATGCGTGAAGCACAAGTGTGCACCACTGACTACTGGAAGCAAGGGAAGAACATCTTCAGTGTAATTACCCAGAGATCTAAAGTTTCTAAAACAGCTGCAAAACACGAAAAAAAAAGAAAACCTAAGACCTCAACAGAGACAAAAGGAGGTACCGTATGGTTTTACACAGCACAATTATTACAGCATCTATGGATACTCAATCGTTTAAAATGACCCATCAATACTCTGCCACAAAGAAAACACTACGCAGCAACACTTCTAAAAAATGGGGTGTAGTTTAGTAGGCAAATAATCCCTGTTTGATATTGATAACTTCATGGCTATAGGCAGAAATTACACATCAGCCGGTATAAGTAATCGGAAACCAGTTCAAGTCTGTAACACAACAGAAGTTCAGTACACATAAACTGCTTTCAAATTGGCTGAAATGGTTTAAAATAAACCTGGATGGAGGTAGTATCAAACATAACTGAATGAGTTTAAATCTGTTTATTGAAATTCTGCCCCAGATTCCTTCGAGATTCAAGTTAACTCACAATCCCCCAGCATCCCAGGATGCTTTGCATCTCCCCTGCAACCCCCCACCCCTTGTAGGGTGGGTGGGCTAGCCTTAGCCCAAACTGTCTGATCCAGCAGAGCAGGGAAACGTGCTCTAGCAACCCCCTTCCCTTTCGGCCCGGGCCACCGCAGATGTGTGGCTGCATTTCCAGAATTAAAAATGAATGTCTGTTCACTTGCTTGTTGGTTCAAACTATGTAGTTTAGACTAACCTGCGAAGATTGAATCAATTCAGCATCGGGCTTTTTGACTGTCTGTACTTAGCCCAAGGGGACATGTTGTGGCCTGAGATCTCGCTCCAGCATTTTCAATGGCAGAAAACTAGACTCGAAAGGAAGATGCACCTTTTAATGTGCTTGCAGACATCTAGTTTTACTTTGTTTCCTGCCTCATTATTATATGGTGTCCCTCCTCAGGGTGTCCTTCTTTGTTCTGGCTAGGGAAGAGTTAACTGCTAAGTCTGTGACGATACACATTTAATTCTGATTGGGGCATTCAGAGCTGTGGAGTGGTTAGATGGTCAGCTGGAATGAAACAGGCCTTTATATAGTTACACACCAAGACTATACACATGTGCAGCACACGCTCTCCACCGTATCAGATACGCAGGTCTCATTAAATCTTGAGACACGATCAATAGCTTATCATTTAATACAGACCATCATAACTGAAAGGAGGACATTTTCAGCATTTGCTAAAATGTTACGTGACCTAACATCCCTCCTAGATGCAGACTCCTAAAGAAATGCCGAATGGGAATGTAACATTAGAAATCTGCTATACAATAGCTGTCAAATACGTACCACAGAGAAATGGAAAAGAGTCTTTTTCAGTCCCGTGGACTCTCCACCATATCTTTCATCACTAAGCAGGTTTCCCCTCTCTATCCATTTCCTTCAAATGATCAAAAAATGCTTCTCTCTCAGCCTCATGATTAAAAAAGCATGAGAGAAATGAGGAGTAAAGAGTGTTTTTCTTTCTTTGCAAGTGATAAAACTAGACATAAGGCCAGCTCCCCTGTGTAACCCATACGCTTTGGTAGTTCCTTTACAATTTTATTTGTAAGAAGGGAGTTTTCATTATTCTTCTAACCTATATGGCAATAACCGTAAGTCATTTAAATTCCTCTCTACTTTAGCAAAAAGTATTTTTGTGCTACTTATAAAACCTGCAGAAGAACTCCTGCTCATTAAATCTGACTGACAGAGGGATCACTCTTCAAACTACTCCTCTCTCAGCCAGGTAGGTCATGATTCCTCAGGCAGATGATGATACATTTCCCGTTTTAATTGGAATAATGTAATTAATTTCATTAAGGCAACTATGAAAGTAGCATCACTCAGAGACCAAGACAAATGAGACGTTTTGCAGAAATGCTGCATATAGTTTTTCCTACTATCATTAATACTTGACAAGGTCTCATGAGCCAACACAAAATAGCAGTTTGTCCTATAAACAACTTTTCCTTCTCTTTTCTTTTTGTAGAAAACCCATGCTTGCCAAAATGGCATTCATTCTTGCCTAAACTTCTTAAGGATTTTGCTCATTGTAATTTTTTGCTATTAAAACAATGAAAATTGATGCTGGGGGAATTCAATGGGCAGCTCTAACGTTTCGGTGCAATGATTTCTTTGATTTTTCTGGTTAAAGAAACCAATGTCAGAGCTCTGTTTAGAAGCTCCTGTCAAACTTGCTCGTCTTTGTGTCATTGTATCAGGGCCTTATATCATCACTGCTTCCACGGGACATCATTATTTTTTATTCTAATTTGGCTACATTGTCAATCTAGTGTGCATGTGCAGACGGAGCTGTCCCCAGGAACCTCCTTTTTGAAATGAGGATGTTGTTTACATCTGCTTGCACAGAGGAGAACAATAGTTTTCATGGGAAAAAAAAAATCTCTGTTTTGTAAATTAAAAAAAGGAATATAAGCTTTGGGAAATCTCATTAACATTTTTTTTTAACCATTCTAAACTCTTAATAAGGTCCTTTTTCTTTCTCCAACTGCCATGGCAAACTTTTGCACTCATAACTCCATGGGTTATTGTGGAGCTGGAGGAATGAAAAGAATTTCATTAGATGTGTTTTATGTTTCTTGATTAAAAATGTCACCCGGGGCTCAATGACTCTTGTTTTACATTAAATGAGTGCTGCCTGCTTTGATCATCATTTTATTAATGCTTTAATGAATATTAAAAAAAAATAAACCATTGTATTAAACGCTAAGCTTTCATATAAAGGAACGGAGTCTCTTTTCCAAGAGCTACAATATTTATTACTAAAACATTTCCTTGCAGATTAAGTCTCCGGTTCTCCTTAGCACTATTGCGGACTACGTTACAGGAAAGTACAATAATTAGATTGGAATAACGCTCAAGAAAAAGAGGGAGAGAGCAGAGGAGCGTGTTTCTAGTCAAACAAATATATTCCAGACTTACCATGCACTTGTTTGGTTTTTCTCCAGAATGAACCCTCATATGAATCAGCAGTTTGTAGCGAGCATTGAAAGGCTTATACCGACGGACGCAGCCAGCCCAGAAGCAAGTGAAGTCCTCTCCTTTCCGCTGGTCAATGTGCGTCTTTTCTATGTGTCTGACCAGTTCGTCTTGTTGGTCGTACGTGGCATTGCAGTCAATCCACCGACAGACCTGTTTGCCGTTGCTGACCTCTTGTTCGTCCCCTTCGCTGGGTTGAAGGGACTTGGGAGACATGGAGCCGTGCAAATGAGGCAGCGTCCCTTGAGCCTGGCTTAGCTGCTGGTGCAAGTGATACGGTGGCGGCAGGCCCTGGTGGTGCCGAAAGAGGTCTGTCGTGGAGGAGTAATCGTCGGCCGGTTCTTGCTTTAGGAAACTCACCTTCTGGCTGCCGTGCGAGGAGACATCTTGCTGAGGAATGCTGGTGCCATTCATCATGAGGCTGAGGCTTGCATTTTCCTCTGTTTGCTGCATTTGTAGCTGATCACAGTCACCTCTGTCACATTCAGTGGAAATAGATACTAGACATGCTGGCGGGGAGGGAACGCTGCACGGGTTCCCAGGCTGAGAGCAGGACTGGGGGCGAGAGGATTTCTGAGCACTGTGGTGACTGATCTCCACGGGATGAAAGGAAATGCCAGCTGAATTAGTCCGCAGCCCGTTCACGCAGGTGACCAATGACGTCTGCGACGTATGGATGATAGCTGTAATATCAATTCCTTCAGCTGAAGTCGGCACAACAGAGATGCATCTCTTCTTCAGGTTGCTTGATTGGAGCCGGGCTGAGTGCTGAGGGCTGCCAAGTGACAATGGACCCAGGGAGGAGCTATGTTCATTATTAAACAAGTAGGAAGAAAGTGAATTTGTCAAGCTATTATTCATTAGGTCTAGTTCAGGATGCAGACTACCAGAGCCTCTGAGCTCCATCCCCTCGGTAATCCTCCTATGTGCTGCAGCCTCCGATAGGACCTTATAATCACTTGGGCACTCTTGCTTAATGTGCTGAGCGGGGTGACTTCCATTCATGCACGAAGTGGGAGAATCTACCGAGTCCTGAAACCTGGGAGACCTGGAATACAGTTTCGTTAAACGTCACTGACTGCCGCACAATTTACGATTGTCATACGTGATACAACATTTATGAAACCCTCGAGAAGAGAACCGCTTAATCTCTACCGTAGGCCATCAGCTTCTTGCAGCAATTACCTTAAGGCATTCGGTGATTCCTCCTCTGCAACCTTGCAAAGACAGCATCATTTTACACGTGACTCATTCATTTTACCCAGCAGGTTATGCGACATACAGACAACTTCGCCTCCACCGCTACGGACAACTCACCAATCCAGGTACAGGCTGGGTCAAGCAATAGCAAACAGCATCACATTTAAAGCCGCGGTGTTTTTTAATTGTTCGAATGAGTGTTTTAGTCGGAGCATGTGTGGAAAATGCCTTTGGGTTTTCCTTTGGGTAACTGAAACATGGCTGAGCTGGTTTTCTTTGTACTTTAAAGAGAATCAGGACTCACAATAGAGATGAGATCTTTTATTAGACCAACAAGATTTTTGCAAAAAGAATTCTTTATTGGCAAGCTTTCAGGCACAAACACCCTTCATCAGGCATCGGAGAAAAGATTGTAAAAGTTCTCCTGGGTAGAAATGAAAGTTCATTCAGTTCAGCGATGAACTGACTGCCCAGAGGAGTCTTCCATCTATTGACTCCTTTGTGAAATCCTATGAAATATGAACTTTCATTTCTACCCAGGAGAACTTTTACAATCTTTTCTCCGATGCCTGATGAAGGGTGTTTGTGCCTGAAAGCTTGCCAATAAAGAATTCTTTTTGCAAAAATCTTGTTGGTCTAATAAAAGATCTCATCTCTACTGCGAGTCCTGATTACCTTTTCCTCTAGACCAAGACAGCTACAACCCAGATACCTGATAGTTTAAAGACATTCTCCTTCACTAAATTCCTAATTTTTCAACTCACAAGGAATTTGTTTGAGGACATTAAACAGCTAAAAATAAAGGGGAAAGAAGGAAATAACCAGGACAACTGTCAACTATATATGAAGACACTCATGCTGGTAGCCTGAAACCTGTGATGTTCAAGCCCTTTCCCAAAAAATCATCCACAGATTGGATTGTATTAATTCTGGTTTCAACAGGACTGTTACTTGGATTAGCTGCTTACTATGCAGTCCCTCTAGGTCAGGGGTGGACAAAATGCGACCTGGGGGCTGGATGCGGCCCACCAGGCCATTCTATCTGGCCCGCGAGGTCCCTAAAAAATTTAGAAAATTAATATTTATCTGCCTCTGGCACCTGTCATGTAGCCCTTGATGGCTTGTCAAAACTCAGTAAGTGGCCCTCCGCCCAAAATAATTGCCAGCCCCTGCTCTAGGTGTTAAACTGCCTTGCTCATTTTAACTGATTTAATCGCTCCGCTTAGTACCGCTCTTAATAGTGTCCCCTTTCCTTGTCTCTTGTTCGTCTACAGAAAATCTTTTCTTTCTGCCAGCCCATTCCTAGCATCTGAGGAAGTAGGCTGCTGCCTACGAATGCTCGTGTGTCTGTGAACAAGTCACGAAGGTGCCACCTTCTGCCTTTCTCATTTGGTACTATGAGAAGGATAAGAGAGTCGTCACTCCCTGACATATCCTGACCCTACTGGGAAGCCAAGCTGGGAAGCCAAATTTTAGGTAACTAAGTAGAGCCAGCCAGGAGCATAGAAACACAGAGCTAGGAACATAGAAACTGCTGTTATCAGATCAGGTGAACGACCTGCCAAATCCTGCATCCAATATCGGGTGCTTCAAAGAAGACGGGGCTTAAAAACCTTGCAGAAGAGACAATTTTGGGATGACCTGCTCGGAGGGGAAATTTCGTCCCCGCATTTGTTTCTAGGCAATTAGACATTGGTTTACACTTCAAAGCAGGTTTTCTCTATTATAAATATTTATCCTAGCAGATATCACTTTGTCTGCCTCCTCAGGATTAGCAGGTATTCCCTAGTATTCCCAGAGTTCATGTGGGATTTGGGTAATCAAGAGGCGAGGGACTGGGTCTCTCCAGATGGGGAAATGGAGTACTTAAGCAAGTACTAAATGACTGCGCAGTAACAACTGCACAGTCGGGTGCTCGAGTAGACGTGCCCAATGTGAGCAACGTTTGTATAAATGGCATACAGAGGCAGATAAATCCTGGTAAGGAATTCTGCACGGAGCCACCGTACCATCGCTGTGATGGAAACATCCACGTGACAAATTGCAGCACCGTCAAATAAACTGCGTGTATCCTACATCTTTGGCTAATTCACCTCTACTTTCCCCACTAATCCCTCTTTGCTGGGAATATTTCTACAGTTAGCTTTTAAACAGCTATCCATTAAAAGAAAACCCATCCCCAAGGAAGTTTCTCTTTTGCATAAAATGTAGCATTTTGTCAAAAAATAAAAAGTAATCCATGCCTCAGGGCTGGTACTATTCAGTTTTCTAGTTTTGCCTGTTTTCTTCCAATCTTACGTCTTGTGAACCATTCGTGCTTATTTTAAAGGTTTTAGTCCCACTCAAGAACAGCAATTCCCCACTATTTAGATCTTGAACTGTTCGCTCTGCCGCTTTAAGGATACTGTATTTAATCATTTTAGTGGCTTCCATAATCCATTAGTTATAATTTCTCTCTCTAGGTTTGCACCGTTGGTTTCATAGTAAACTAAAGCACCTGGTTTAACAGATGGCAAGGTTGAAAAAACGGGCCTAATGCATTTTTTAACACTTCTAAAACCACATGTCTGTAAAATATGTGGCATAAGCAAAATATATGAGGGAGCGTTTCATTGGCACTTGTCTGGGATGGCCTGCATGTAGCTTCGCACAGCATTACTGCTGTCTTAAACTCATTATTAGAAAGCCTTTACCGCACACCATCTCGAGCACAAGGTACTCTGCGGTGTGATTTCTAAAGGGAAACACAAGGAAGATTGAGTCGAATTATTTCAATTGAGAGAGAGAAAGAGAGAACGAGCGTGAGCACATAATGAATTCACACATCCATCCCTGCAGCCCTCTTTCACAAAGGCTCTGCTTATGTAATCATTATTAATTATTATGAATAGTAACGTAACACACACTTGTACCCACTGAATTGGATTTGAATGCGAAGTTCTGTAACAGACTCCGTTATGAGAATCATAGCTTTCTATCTGGACCAAGTTATATACACTGCCCAGCCTGTGAAGGAGTTAACACTGGCCACGTCTACACGAGACGCTGACTGCACGGTAGCTCGTTACTACTGTACAGCAGCGTCCCATGGCACGAAACATGATGCGCCGCTACTGCACAGTCAGCATCACCAAAAAGCCATTAGGGGGTATTCCTGCACAGTTATTTAGTACTTGTGTATGCATGTACTAAAAGACTGCGCAGTAACAACTGCACAGTTAGCGTCTCGTGTAGACGCAGCCACTGATGTAGGAATTCGGCATTATTTTCACTTCCCAGCTTTTTGGAGTGCTGAAGTTTTCAACTATAAAGTGGCACTTGTGCAATGTATCTGCATTTGCTATGCAGCCATGCCTTCTTGGACCGATCCCGTTCCCTTCTTCTCAAGCGTAGGGGACCTAGACTGGAGTGAAAGAGGTGAAGTTTGACTAAGCAGGTGAAGATGCGGGGATGGGATGCCAGGAGCCCTGCTCCACAAAGACGTAGTGCTACTCTGTCTGGGCATCCCAATCAGGGACCAAGACCCTACTGACAAGCAAATGAAAGAGGCAGAACAAAGAGACAGAGGAGGCAACATGCAGGGGGAATGCGGCAGGGACAGTGCTGGGGGGTTTGAAACTGGGTTGATCCATCTTGCATTAAATGGGATAGCGCTAGTGCCAGTGGGGCTTTCCCCCTCCCTTCCCCAGTGGGCTTATGTACAGATTAGGTACTGGTCCTTGTTAAAGTGCTCACTGGGCACGTCTCCACGTGCAGATTTACTACACAGTAAATATGGCAATTTATGCCAGCTTGAGCGTAAATGTGATACCTGCATCATGCAGGTATAAAATTTATGCTCCATTACTTACTGCGCAGTAATGCACATGTAGATGCCTTACTGTGCAGTAACACTGTGTGTGTGGACTGATTTAGGACTAACCTTGGGCAGGGAAAGAGAATTAGGGTGGCACTCAGGGAGAGTGCAGGGCTACTGTATGGCACACCCGTCAAGAAGGTTGGTTCCCCCCGTACACATCTTTGATTTTTTAAGCCGGTCCCTTGTGATCGCTGGCAGTTTTAAGAAGCTGGAGGATGCTGTGCTCTGCAGGGCTTTCTTTCAGACTGCTCTGCCACCTTTTCTGGTTTTACACAGAGAACTGAAAGCCCAACGAGGAAGGAGGTTTTCTGCGCCTGAGAATGAGCTATCTAACTGACGGCCAACAGGAGCGGCACACCGCGGCCAGTGATAACAGTGCAGGTACTAGGGCTTCTCCAGTCCACCACACGCATCTCTAGTGGCAACTTAAATACTATTAACTCAGCTGTGGGAGAGCAATGAGAAGAGGAGGCATGATTCCTGGATGAATGCAGTCATCGTTAAAACACAGTGCCTGAGAAAAATGAGTCAGGGAGGAGCTGGGGGGGGAAATGAATTTCAGTGCATTGAGCAAAGCAGCAGAAGCCATTCATCTCACCAAACCCTGAGCAGAATGTATGCTTGTGGCAAAGACGTTTGCAGGGCCATCCCTAGGGACTGTCTCAGGCCCGGTGCTTTGCGGGGGGTGCCCTGCGAAGCTGGGCAGAGCAGCTGTGGTCCCGCCTGGAGCTGGCAGCTGCAGAAGCAGCCAGGAGACCCCCTCTTCCCCCTTTGTGGGGGTACTATGGCCCTGCGCAGTGTTAAAGGGGTCCTGCACCCCCCTAGGGCCCCACACCCCCCTAGGGTTGGCTCTGGATGTTAGTTTGGGGTCTCTTTGTGGTTGCATAAACTGGGATCATATATGGATTCAAAGTTTAACCCAGAGAACTGGTCTGAATTTGTGTTTCCCCTTATGCATCAGACACGGGAGCTGGCCAGAACGACCAGTGTAGAGTTCAGCCAGCCCTGCCCATGACAGGCCGTTGTTTCTCCATGCATTGCCTAGGAAGGAGCCGTGTCCAGAGAAGTGCAGAACTCCCTCAATCTCCCCTGACTTCCCTGGCAGCTGAGATCACTTGGCACCGTGCAACATGGGGTTTTTATATTTTCAACCCCTCAGGGTAAGGCCCTTGTACAACTATGACACTACATACAAAAACAAATAATAGCACTCAGAATAAATGCTCTTTATCTTCACTCCCACTCTCAATAGCAGCTCTGGCTCGGCAGCCTGTCTGAGCAGGGGGTGCTCCCTGAGCTAGGAGTAGCTGCACTCGGTCGGGGAGGCTCACAGAGCCACACGGGGCACTAACGCTACGCGTGAATCCAACGTCAGTGAAAGCGGTGGAAACAGCTGGATGTACAAACGGGGAGTGAGGTGACTGATCAGCCAGACATTCAAGCGGTCCGTGAAGGAAAGGGACCGCGCCGTACTTTATGAGGCTTTCCAAATACTTCTAAATAGTTGCTCAGGAGATGGTGAAACCTGCAGATTGGAGGCCATGTTGCAGGACAAATGGGGCAAAATTAGCTCTGTCACCTGCTGTTTTATCATAATAGCAGCCCTCTCAGGTTCTGCTGCACACAATCCTCAACGTTGTTCTGGGAATCTTCCCTCAGACAGCGATGGAAGGAGTTCATATTTCTAAGTGTGGTACTGTGATCCCCTGTATACAGGGATCTGTCATTTCCTCATTATGGTTTTTACAAAAAGGTTCAAAAAGATCTAAGCAGGGTCCTCTCTTCCTCCTTTTGTTTGCTCCTTCCATAATTATCTTTGTTTCATAATTGTCCTCACTGACAGAATAAAGCCAGCCCGATAACTGCAAACCCACATGGAGCCATGAAAGGGTTGGGATGGAGCGAACTTAAATGAAGCAGCAGCATCATAAAAGTTGTGATACCAAAAGCAAAACGTTTGCTATTTGGCGTGAATGTGCTCTGGTCCTTTTTTCTATAAAAAGGTCCCTCCATTTGCGTGTCATATTGATGAAATCTTTTTTATTCCTGGAAATAAAGATAGCCTTGTACCATTAGGAAATGAAAAAGAAAGGAAGAAAAACAATGCATAAAAATGTACAATAAATCCAAAACAACCAGATTTCCCAAACTAAGTTGGAGTCCACGTTTCCTTTTGCTGTGTCTGTGGAAAGTGGGGTTTGATAGTTCCAGGCAGAGAGCACCAATTATTCCAAATATTGACGATAACGGTTGCAACTTTATTGAAGTTTTTCTTTGCTCTAGCTCTTCAAAAGGTCCAGATCATACCATATCCTAAAGCTTTGCCAAAAAACAGTGCAATTAAAATAGATAGTCAGATTTCTAATTCATAGCAGGCTTCTATTCACAATGGATGTCTGTTTAGGATATTCGTGTAAAATCTGGTAATGTTAACATTTCTAACAACAACAACAACAATAGAGTTCTCTTTTCATATAATTAAATTATGGCAAATATTTCAATAGAAAAATCTGTTCATGGTAGGTTGAACTATAGTGTGTATATCAAAAGCAGAGCCCAACATTTTCATGTTATGGCCTCAGAGCAAATCCCCAGGTTATAGCTCTATGGGAACATCTATTCCCACCGTGCATCCTCTAACTAACTCAGAGTATGCAGGCTTCCTGTAGGTTTGCTGGTGGCATATCACGGTGCCATATGGGAGACGCCGGTTTAGAAGTCATTCTGCCATCTCCATTTCCCAGGCTGCATCTTGGAAGCATCATGGGTGGTAGTTGAGAGAATGCAAGAAGCTCACTGACTTCAGAGCATGCTGCAATTGCATCAATAGAAAAGCCATAATTAAACGCCAAGGGAGGATGCTATGGACCTTGGAGTGGCCCCAGCTGGCAAAGAGTTATGGAGTAGTAGCAGCAAAATGCCATCAGAGAGCTTCAGGGGAGACATGAAATGCTTAGCCGAGGAGGGACGACAAGGTGAAACAAGGCAAAGAATTCATCCAAACGTTAGGCCACCAGGCCAGGCCCAGGAGAGGAGATCTCATGTTCAGCACCTGAAGGGAAACTACGGGGGAGAAGATTATAGCCATGAAGCACTCCCAAAGGGTAAAGTATAAGAGGCAATAAAAACTGAAACAATACCTTGTATCCGTGTGTGTTAAATTCAGCTGACCAACATGGAGCAATCTCTCACAAGACAATGGGTGGTCTCGGGTAAGTGGATTTCCTGTGTGGATGAATAGACTCTGTCTACAGACAGGCACTGAGCTATTTGTCATCTCCATGTCCATCATGTTCTTCTTCTCGGAGATCAAATTGCAATGGTTGTATCCACCATTCACTGAGAGAGAGAGAGAGGGGAAAAAAAAAAACCCATAAGCTTCTAATGAAGAGAGAACTTCTGTATCCGTGTTACTCAATATGTTCCCAGTTTTGGCTCCCGTCATCAAATTCTTGCAACTGCAACAGGAGAGAATGCTGAGGGTTTCACAATGAACCAAAACCTAATCCCGAAAAGCTTGGCATCCATAAATTATTGCTATGATTTCTCTTTTTATATTACGAGACTATTTTTAATTTCACATTGTAGCTTAAAAAAAATAAAAATATAATAGTTTCCTTTAATATCTACTGTTTATGGCAGAGGGTTTTTTTTACATTTTTAGGTTTCGTGCTTTGGGGTCGTTTCTATTTTGTTTTCTTAAATGAACGAGGATAAATGTTGATGTGGGGGTTTCTGAAATCTATTTTTATTTATTGTCACTTGATCCATCGTTCATGTATTACCGTGACATTCTTCAGGTTTTCAATGGCAGTCGAATGCCACCAGAGAAACTTCTAACTGGCTTACGGATGGTGTGGAAGACCGTGTCTAAATCATAGAGTATTTTTTTCTGTAATATATACAAATGACTCCTCCCCTCCCCTGCTCTGAACTGTTGGGTGGGTACGTTTTGGAGCTGTCTTGGTTTCCACTGAACCATCAGAGATTGACCCCCAAAGAAGCAAGCATGGCAGAGAAGGTGATCCAGAACGGGAAAGTCTGTGCTCCTTAGCCCATGAAAATCTAATTCCTATCCATGCTGGAAATGTTTATAAAGAAGGTACAAGGTACTTTACTTCTGAAAATGCACATTTCTTATTGATGATTGTGAAACTCCCACTGACCTCAAGAGAGCAAGATTAAACCCTTCAACTTGAAGAAACATTTACATAACCAGGGAGGAGATCACATACACAAGTCGAGCACCAGTGACAACTGGTGACTTTTGTTTTATCTTGGGGGGAGGGGAAAATTGCATTTACTCAGTGTTTACCTACTTCAAAAGCATGTTAAGTTTGGGGTGTTTTTTCATGTCTCTGTATAAAGTACTCTGAAATCCTCAGGTGAAAGACATGAGAAATGGGAAAGCTGTTTGTTCTAGTTCTGGATGCCTTTCACTCACAGCCTTCCTAATTCCTGGACAAAAATGACAACAAACCCAAGTCTTAGTCCGTTTCTAGTCTGCCACAGATGTTGTGTATCAAATCAAGAGGATTTCTCTATGTTAGTGAGGGGCTTGAATGGAAAGGAAGAAAGGTTGTGTATGTCTCCAAGATATCTGAGCAGAAAGGCATACTTTGCTGCACACGAAATGTAGTACAGGAATATTTTCAATGCAAAATAAATTCAATTTATAAACAGAAAAAAAATACAGCTGGGTTGAGATCCTGCCTGATCCTGCCGTCTCTACTCAGGCAAGAAAACTCTTGTCAAAGTCAAAAGACACGTATTGGGAGGGAGGCATGTCTAGAAAACGTGTCAGTGCAACAGGGAATTGTTTTAAAGTCTTTCCTGGTATTAAGGCTGCCTATACTTGGACAATGAACCAGCAGTAGATCAGAGACTTTCTGATCTACTGCTGAAAACAATTTGACTGTTAGCTTGCATGGAACAAAAGTATTGTTGGCAATTTTTCGGAGCGTATGACTGCACCACTTCCAGTTGCGCTTTCAGCAACATGTCAGTCTCCCAAGCGTTGGATTTTGACTAATTGTAAGGCGAAGCAAAATGGCTTTAGGCCAATCAGCACGAATTTGCTTCAAAATGTTACTGAAAAGGGGTACAGTACATTCATAAAGCAATGACTATGGTGTAACTAGAGTGACCATTTCTAATGGCTTGGCACGTAAGTCTGGAATAGTGCAGAAGGCCTGGAGAGGGTCCCAAACTCAACGGCCTGATTTTCACATCTCTTTCAGCGTTGAGCGTGAACAGCATGTAAACATAAAGCACAGTCTTTCCAATGGTAAAATACCCTCTTAATTTGGGCTGTTGCTGCTAACTGAATATGTTTTATTGAAAAACCTTTCTGGCAGAGAAATTCTTGCAAAATGCCTATTAAATGTGCAAGCTTACATAAACCTCTTCAACAAAAGTACCTCTGATGTGGGGCTTATACTGCAAGCTTTCTATTTAATTTCTATCATTCTTTCATGCTTAAATACGTTCCAGCCTACTTGATCGCAGTACTGGTTAGCTGTCATGTATGATGTTATCAGAAGTATCAATGTATTGCAAATGTTAAGGCTTTTCATGAAATGAAGCAATTAAGAGCAAATTTAAGAAGTTTTTCACTTTTTTTAAATGGCAGCAATTGCCCTTTATTCTTAATGGGGTTAAAGCCACTGTTAGAATGACTACCATTTAAGTAACCACAGTTTAACAGTGAAGCTGCCTTTAACTCAGATGGTTGCCAACTCTCTTTGGTTCCAATGGATGGAGGCTATGTCATCCGCACGGGGGGCCACTAAGTTGCTCAACTCTGATCTTGCTCAATGAAAGTCAACCCAAGGGTGCAGACACACGCTTACATGGAAGTAATATGATTACGTCAGGGTCAAAATGGGGCGGATGCAGGATATACAGTCTAATATCTGTTAGTCACCCCACTCCAGGGAAGCAATATCCCTTGAGAAATGAGTAATTACAGACCCTGTAAGATACACCCATGTAACAGCCATGTCTTCTCTCCTAGTCAGCATCATCGTGGGGTAACTCTGTTCAATGCAAACAGTTTCTCTTGCCATCTAGCGGCCAGGAGCTATAATGGTCCCTACTGCGGGCAGCTAGCTTGGGACAGCCAGCCATTTCTCCATCTTTTACGACAGTTCAGAGGGAAGACAAAGGTAAATTACTGCACAGTAATAGCGTTACGTCTCCACAATCTGAAGCCAACTTTTGCAAGTGACTTCAATTGGAAGTAGGTTCAGATTTTTGGCAAACATGACCATGAAAAGGGGGAAAGCACGTGATTATGGGAAGCAGGTAAATCTTGAAATGCAGGTCCTATATAGCCTGGAAGACTCACTGATGACTAGGAAACCAGTAGAATGGATGACAATAAAAGAGAATGAAAACTGGGACACTGAAAAGGGAAGGGATTTTTAATCAGGTCATTTAAAGCTAAGTCTTCTTATTTGCTTTAAGTCTACTTCAATAGCCAATAATGAATGTGAAAGGACATCTGTGTTAAAGATCCAGTACCCTGACCCTTCAACTAAGGTGTGAGAATTCAGAAAAAAAAGTGTTATGAACTCTCAAAATACATACTCAGGGAGTCACCTAGCAATAGCAGGCTTGACATCATAGATATTTTAAGGTAAGCAACAAGGAAAGGGAGGAGAACTCTCTAGTAATAAGAAAGCAAAGCAGGACACAAGCCCAATTTTTAAACAAATATTTTGTTCTTCAACTTCAGAATGTCTAAACCATTCTCTCACTACCTCTGCAACAATGAGTCACACGCTCCCTCTGTTCATGTTACACAAGGCTAAGTTATCTGTCAAATAAGGACAATTTTCATCTCACATAAGTGGCATTATCCCTGTTTACATTATAATCAAACTCAAAACCTCTGAATCTCTCTAAAATACATTTCATAGCAGTATGCCTCTACTCAGCTCAATCATGTGACTGGATTTTTATTAAAGTAAGTTGTTTTTTTTTACCTAAATCTGGATCAAAACCAGATCCTGGTCTCAGTTCCTCTAGGACAATGTCCTCAGCTTTTTTAGACTCAAGGAACCCGTTGAGAACCTCTTTTAGACTCAAGGAGCCCCTTGATTCAAGGCAGCCCTTGGAAAATGCCAACCTTTCGTTTTCACTTGATTTTTGACAGCAGGAACATACTACAGCAACTCTCCTGTCGCAAGGAACTCAGGAAGATCACAACAGGTCCAAATGTTTCCAGCACGATGGACTCCTGTTTGAAATCTCTGGGTTTATTTTATGAACTGTGTTTATAACATTGAGCTAACATTGTGTGGCACCCCACAGCACCCATGAAAGGACCTCAAGGCACCCCCGGGTGCCGTGGCAATGAGGTTGAGAATCACTGCTCTAGGATAAGCCTGGAGTAGCACCACTAACTTCAAAGGAGCTACGCTAATCTCAGTGTCTCGCTGAATGCCCTTCAGAAATGTGACCTAAGCACACGTCTATGCTGCGTGGGACACCTGATGGAAAGTTAAGCCCTGAGCCCTGGATTGTGCTTGATGGGCATCCGAGTACAGAAATTAGGAAGAATAAGTGGTTCACAAGACCTGAGGGTATGTCCAAGCGCCACTCTGGCTCTCTGAGACAGGACGCCAGATAACGGCACTAGGACATGAGCTCAGGACTTTTCTAAGTCACGTGTGCCAACTGCAGGGGACCTCGACTTACACTGAGCGGGTGCAGCTCGATGCTAGGTGTTGGCCTTGGACTCAGCAAGGAGGCTGTATCAATCTGGCTTTCGGTTCTGATGAATAATATCAAACAAGTGAACTCTGCACTGCCAGAGCTAGAAACGGCCAAAAAAACATCCATCAAGAAGTATTTTTAAGAGTAAGTGTTTGGACTATGTGATTTTTTGTTTTCCGAGGAAAAGTCATTTCCTGTCTGCAGAAAACTTTGTCAAAAAAAAAAAACAACCCAGCTTTTTTTCTAATTCCTAAATTAATACAATAGCTAAAAATGTTAAGCTGCAAGTAGAGAACGTTGATTTGGAAATGGTATCACACAGGGGTGGATCCAAAGGGGGTGCAGGCCCCCCCACCTCCCTTCAGTCGACTGTGCCATAGGAGCAGCACTCAGGGGCTTTTTCAGTCCTTGAAGCTAGTACAAATTCCCCTCTCCCTTCTCCTCTGTGCTCAGCAGCACCTTCCCGCTCCCTTCTGCTCCCCTGCCTGCCTCTGGGGCAAGGCAGCTCCAGAGCCGTTGCTGGCCAGTCCAGCTGGGCTCTGCAGAGAGCTGGGCTCAGCCAGGACAGCA